TGGTGGTGGTGACAGTGATGATGATGATGAAGGTGGTGGTGATGGTGGTAGTGGTGATGGTGATGATGGTGGTGATGCTGGTGATAATGGTGGGGGTGATGGTAGTGGAGGAGGATGTGGTGGTGATGGTGGTAATGGAGGTGATAGTGGTGATGATGGTGATGGAGGTGAAGGTGATGGTGGTGGTGATGGAGGTGAAGGTGATGGTGGAGGAGGTTTCAGTGCATGGTAATGGTGGTGTTAGCAGACAACTTATCTAGTGCTTACCAAGTAGTAGGGATCCTTCTTATCTCTTTATGTATATTATATATTTTTATAATAACTCATTGAAGTAAATGTACTATTATTATCCTTAATCTAAACATGAAGAAGCTGAGGCACATCACCAAGTGATGTTCAGGGACCCCCAAAGGGATTATTTTGCCCAATAGATCAGGTCTATGATTCTAGAACTTGAGTTCTTCCCACTAGCTTTACATCAGTGCCTCTTGATGTAAATCATGGCACTCAGGTCAGGCAGATGCTGTATTACCCATTTTACAGCATTTTATAGAGTGCGTGTCGGTTTCAAGAAAGTTTTCCACCTGCAGCTGGGCACGGCTATTCTCAAAGCCCCTCACAGGCTACTTGTCTACTACAAATGCACTTGTCCCAGGCTGACTCACGGCACGTTGGGAGCACAGACGGCACACTCTGGAGCCACACAGCCTCCCTATGAGGCTTTGGGTGGAGAGTTAGGGTCTCTCAGCCTCGGTTTCCCTCTCCACAGATGGGGATGAGAACTGAACCTCACTTCATAGGACTGCTGGGGGCCTGAGACTGGATTGGCCCCACGCTTCCCTTGTCGCGCAGGGCTCTACAAAGCAGTGCTGGTGGCACTAATTCTTACTGTCTAGTTTTCCACCAGACTGTGAAGGCATCAAACATTTCTTTCCTGCCCTGGCCTCCTGATGCCTCTAGCATGGTTCCCGAAACACTCTGGGTACCAATCAATGTGCTTCCAGTGAAGCTGAATGCACCCCAGTTGTTAACCGTCAGGGAGGCTCTTCCTTCAAAAAAAACTAGTAGAGGGAATACATGGCCCAGTTAATAAACTGATGATCTCATTCACTGCATCTCAGCTCAGAATAACTTTTCCTGGCTCACCAGAAAGGCAAAGACACTTAAGGTACAAAGAAACAGGAATTAGCGGCAAAGTCACACCATAAGCCAGAGGATATTTGCGTTTCTACCGGAAACACACACACTGAGAGCAGCTGGGCTCATGGAAACACTGGCTGACCACGGACCAGCGTGGCACCTTGCTGCTGAGGGGGCAGTGCCACTGAGGGACAGACGTACGAGGACTCAAGTCCCAGAGCCCTGGCTTCCTCGCCAGGTGACCTCGATCAAGTCAATTAGCTTCTCCTCGTCTCCGCTTCCTCCGCCTATAAAACTGAGGGTAGTAATTGCTGTCTATTTCTGGTGCAGTGGGAAGGACGTTATTACATGTAAGGGCCCGGCCGCACGTGTGGTCACTTGACAGGCACTTAATAACAGTCAGCTTCCCTTCCCTGATGCTCCTCGGGCCCACTGGGGCTAATCGTCCCTCAAAAAACGAATGAGAAATGATAGGGCTGTGGGAAAGAGGTGGCATGGTCATGATGAAGGGCCTGGGGCCACAGATGGGATGGTAATAATACCTCCTTCATACAGGAGCCGGGCACACACGGAATGTGTGTCAAATGCTTAGCAGAGTGCCCGGCATACAGCAGGCTGTCAATACATGGTGACTGTTCTTACCAGCCTGTCGTGAAATGACATGGCAACATGAGATGCTGTGGCTAAACTGCCGGTGAATGAGGAGGGGGTCTACATGAAAGCCGCCACCCCCCAGTTTGCTGGGGACTGTCCTGGTTTTAGCACTGCAAGTCCTGTGCACCAGGAACACCCCGAGTCCCAGGCAAACCAGGGGGTAGGTCATCCGAGGCCCGTGGTGCTGCACCAGGCGTCCCACACCACTGAGTGGCTTCTCTCGACCTATGACTCCAATCCCCTGCCACTCTTCCTCCCCAGGGGCTCCAGCCTTGGGGTTTACTAGACGCTCCGTGGGCATACTGACTGTGGGATATTGGCCTTTGTTGCTTTCTTTATTTGGAACCTGGATTGTCAGAACCCCCTAAGCTGGCCCCCGACAGGCTTCCTGTCTCACTACCCCCTTGGACATGACCTCATTTGGAAGTTGTCTGCAGAGATAATCAAGTTAGGGTGAGCTCATCCTGGATGAGGGTGGGCCCTAAGTCCAGTGACTGGGGTCCTCCTAAGAGGCCATGTGAAGACACAGAGAAGGAGGCCGTGTGAAGGTGGGGTCAGAGACTGGAGTGGTGTTGCCACAAGCCAGGGAAGGCCAAGGGTGGCTGGCAGCTGCCAGATGCCAGGAGGGCAGAGCATGGAGCAGATTCTCCCTCCGGTTTTGGACTTCTGGCCTCAGAACTCTGACAGCATCACTTCTGTTGTTCGAGGCGCCCCAGTTTGTGGCCCCAGGAGAGCAGCGCGCCTCCTCACTGAGGCCTTCCCTGACCACCTGCTGCAGTCGGCCCCTTCCCAGTGCTCTCTGTCTCTGCATCCGGTCCTAGCTTCTCCCAGCACTTAGCGCTTCCTGAAAGTACCTAGTCTGGTACTTACTTTACCACCGGTTTCCCCACCCGAAGCCACAGTGAAGTTTCGTGAGAGCTCAGTGCCAGCCCCAGGACAGGTGCTTGACAGACATGTACTGAATGGGTCCCCACGCCACTGTCGCTCTACTGTTATTTATTTAATCGAGGCTGCAGAAAGGCCGAGTGGCGGGGCACCAGTGGCTGGGACTTGCACACCCCTGCCAGGCTTGTCCTCGGTTGCAACTGTGGTCCACGGGAGCAGGCCCCAGTGGGCAGCTGGAAGGGGGCAGAAACTGAGAAGCGAGCAGAGGGCAGCGTGCCCCCCGCTCCCAGCTAAAACATCAACAGTTCCAATGTACCGAGCCTGCTACAACTTCCGAGGCCTTCCCCTTCCTCGGGGCACATGGCCCGATGGTGCGCGAGGGGTGGTCAGGGACACACTCCCTCACACGGGGCGAGCTTAGCTTCCCGATTCCTCCCAGAGTCCAGTTGGAGCAGCAGCTCTAAGCTCTTGAAAAGCAGAAGGGACCTCAGAAAATATTCTCCAGGGAAATCAGAGAGGCTGAAGGAGACACTTTAGGGACAACTGGAAATGTGCATTTTCCTACTGGAGTGCAGAAAAACTTGAGTCCAGTCAAAAGCATTTTACTGAATATAATAGTCTTAACTTTTGAAAATGAAAATATGACACATATCTTTAAATTGCACAGTGCAGTCTGGGGAATCATCACAAAATGCACACACCTGTGCAACCCTCACCCAGGTCAAGAACCAACCTATTCTACCAGCACCCCAGAAGCCCCCCACCCTGCGCTTCCTCAGAATCATCATCCTCCCCTTCTCCCCAAAGATCACCACCAGCCTGACTGCTTATCACCAAAGCTCCGTGTGTGGAATCATAAGGGGTGTGTTTGTCTCTCATCTCCTTGTGCTTTTCATGCATGTGAAATGCATTCATGTTGTAGCCTGAAACTGTAATTTGTTTGTTTTTATTACTGTGTAGTATTCCAAAATATGAGTATATCACACTTCATCCGCCTTCCTATTGATGGACACTCCGGTGCTTTCCGGTTTAGGATTAACGCTAATAGTGCCCCATAAACATTCTTACACAAGTCGTTCAGGGCACACTTATGCAAGTTTATATATACATTGCAACCATAAGATACATTTGTTCAGTTTTAATAAAGCCAATTTCCTTAAATTATCACACCAATTTACACCTTTATGAGAGATGTATGAAATACATTTTGCTCCACATTTTTGCCAATATTTGGCATTATTGGTCTTTTTAATTTTCAGCAGTTGTGGTTTTCATCTGCATTTCCTTCATTACTGAGATATTTTATTTTATTTTATTTTATTTTATTTTATTTTATTTTAATTCCAGCATAGTTAACATACAGTGTGACATTAGTTGCAGGTGTACCATATCGTGATTCAACAACTCCATACAACACCAGTGCTCATCACGACAAGTGCCCTCCTTCACCCCCAGCTCCTATTCCCCCCATGTCCCACCCACCTCCCATCCGGTAACCCTCAGCTTGTTCTCTAGAGTTAAGAGTCTGTTTCTTGGTTTGTCTCTCTCTTTTTCCTTCACTTATTTGTTTTATTTCTCAAATTCCACATATGAGTGAAATCCCATGGTATTTGTCTTTCTCCGACTGACTTATTTCACTTAGCATTATACTCTCTAGTTCCATCCATGTCATTGCAAATGGCAAGACTCATTCTTTTTGACGGCCGAGTAATATTCCATTGTGTATATATTCCATATCTTCTTTATCCATTCATCTGTCGAGGGGCACTTAGGCTGCTTCTGTAATGTGG